ATCCGCCTGCCTCGGCCTCCCAAACTGCTGGGATTACAGGCGTGAGCCACCGCGCCCGGCCTACTTTAAGTATTTGTAAGTGTGCAGTTCAGTGGCATTAGGCACATTCACGTTGTGCAACCATCACCACTGTCATCTCCAGAACTTTTTTTTCATCATCTCAAACTGAAACACTACACCCATTAAACAATAACTCCCGGGGGCAGGTGCAAAAAGAACAACTCCCCATTCCCCCTGCCCCAGCTCCTGGTAACCTCAAATCTACTTTCTGCCTCTATGGATTTGACTACTCTAGCTACCTCATGTAAGTGGAATCATACAGCATTTGTCTTTTGTGTCTGGTTTATTTCACTTAGCAGCATGTCCTCAGGGCTCACCCATGTTGTAGAATGTGTCAGAATGTCCTTCCTCTTGAAGGCTGAGTAATATTCCATTGTATGGATTGACAGACATGCACCAGCAGGTGGACGTCTGGGTTCTTTCCAGTCTGAGGCTGGCATGGTCAGTGCTGCTGTGCACATGGACATATCCACCCGACTTGGTGTCATCTTTGCATTCACAAGCTGTTGCCAGGCACTTCCATGGGCTCTTGGGGGAACAGGTGCTGCAGAGTGGGCAGTCCAACAGGGAGACTGCCTGAAAATGGGTGGACCTCACTGCATGGTGGGGACTTGAGAGCAGCTGCCAGGGAGGCACCAGGAGGGCCCCAGTCAGACCTGCTGGCTTGTGCCTGGTCAGATGCCCACATAACCTGGGCTGGCAGAGAAGTCTGGGAAACTCCAGCCAGCCAGAGCACCAGCTTCAAATGAAGCAGAGGCTCACTGGCAACAACAAAAATGAACTCTGATGCCCCCACGGGAACGTGAGTTGTGAGCCCAGCAAGACACATAAACAGAGCAGGAGAAATGGGAGAAGACAAAAGTCTATGACTTGATATAATGTTGCCTTCTAAGGAGAACAGACAGGGCTAATGTGATTTAGCAACCTAGAAAATTTGCAAATGAAGAGAGATGCACCTATAATCCTAGCACTTTGTGAGGCCCAGGAGGGTGGATCATTTGAGGTCAGGAGTTCAAGAGGCACCTGACCAATACGGTGAAACCCTGTCTCTACTAAAAACACAAAAAAATTAGTCGGGCATGGTGGCACATGCCTGTAGTCCCAGCTACTTGTTAGGCCAAGGCAGGAGAATCGCTTGAACCTAGGAAGCAGAGATTACAGTAAGCCAATGTCGCACCACTGCACTCCAGCCTGGGGGACAGAGTGAAACTCTGTCTCAAAAAGACAGAAACAACTGAAGGAAGAAATTCCTAATGGCAGCAAGGCTCCAACTTCCCCAGCTCTGCCGGCTGGTGACTCCCTCTTCCATACCCCATCCGATGAATCTTGGATGGATATTGATGCCTTCACCTTGAAAAATCCCTCTCTGAAGATGCAGACTCAATGTCCCTTGCTCTGTGAAGGCATCTCTGTCCCCTGACCTTACTTCCCAAACAACCGTGCCATCTGAGCCAGCAGTCACTCTGGGCCAAAGTCTGCCCCAGCTCTTGGCACATTTGCCACATCCTTCCTTTCCAGCTTCTCTGATCTAGACCATGAAGGCTGGGGACAGGGGTCTTCTCGTTCTTGGGGAGACCCCCAGGCATGGCACACAGGAAGCCTTCCATGACTAGGGTGGCACAGCAGGTTCCTGGTGTCTGAGGATGGACCAGGATGGTCTCGCTCACTCAAATGGCTCATTCAGGGTCGGAGCTGGCTGGGAAAGGACACCTGGCTTGGGTCCTCTTGCACCTGCCCACACACAAGGGCTTTGATTCGTGCTGTCAGTGGCTCTTTTCTGAACTGTGGGCACCACCACAGCTTTGTCCCTGCTGTACTGTGTATCCCCTTGCCTTTCTGGCTCTGAACAAAGCAGCTCACTCATCCTGATTTCTACAGCTCCCACCCCCCACCACCCCCACCCTCATGGAGCCTCTATCGTGCAAGAAGGGAGTTGGGGACCTGGCAAGTCATCCAGGACAGGTATTTGAAAAGCAGGAGCCAAAATCTGAGACTCGGGCAAGTGGTTCCTAAACCCAGCTCATCAGCACCATTAAGGGGAGCAAAAAAACCAGACCGCGCCAAGCCCCCCGCCCAGAAGATCCTGACTCCTGCTGCCCACAGACAGGCGCATGAGCAGCTTTGCTAAGAACTCCTTTCCATCCCAGACCCCTGCCCTTGGGGGAGCCCCTGGGGCCTGCCAGGGGCCTCTGCCCTCATGGTCGGATCTGGACACTCCTGGGATGCTGAGGCTTCTCTACCTGCTGCAACTGCCTCACCTCACGGGAGGGTCTCTCTACTCAACTTCTGAGTCAAGGTGCATAATCAGGGTGGGGGCTGTGGGCCCCTGTAGCGGGCTGCAGAGAGCCAAGCGCCTCCCAGACAGTACAGTGCAGAAGGCAGCTGGTGTCACTGGGAAAAGCCCAGATTCAAAAAGGCTGGGCTCCGGAGTCGTGCACACCCTCTCTCAGGTACCCCTGTGCAGAAAACAGCGTCCACAGGGGAGAAAGAGGCCAGGCTGGTGTCGCAGAACGTCAACGGCATAGTCACCGCCACTCCCCCGACTTCCTTCCTCCTGGGATCCCACAAACAACCCCCCGGCTGGGAGCCTGGAACTCCAGGGACCACAGCAGCCGCCATCTACTTGGCATGAGTCATGAATGCCCTTCACACAGCAATCGGATTCCTTCCTGTCTAGCCATGGTTCCCACCCATCACTCCCACTGACACAGGGACCAGGGGCTGGAGCCGGACAGTGTCTGCTCCATTGCCTCCTCGCAAACGACAACAGATAAGGATAAGAACAGCAGCAAACGCTGACCCCCCACCTGTGAGAGCATGCGTCACTCAACCCTCAGGGTCCATGGCCCCCCACCCCCATTTAAAGGCGAGGAGGCTGGGCGCAGTGGCTCACGCCTATAATCCCAGCACTTTGGGAGGCCGAGGCGGGTGGATCACCAGAGATCAGGAGTTTGAGACCAGCCTGGCCAACATGGCGAAACCCCACCTCTACTAAAAATACAAAAAAATTAGCCAGGCATGGTGGCACGTGCCTGTAAATACAGCTACTCAGGAGGCTGCGGCAGGAGAATCGCTTGAACCCAGGAGGTGGAGGTTGCAGCGAGCTGAGATGGTGCCACTGCACTCCCTGTCTCTTATACACATCTAGATGTGTATAAGAGACAGACCTGGGAGGTTGCAGCGAGCTGAGATCACACCACAGCACTCCGGCCTGGGCAACAAGAGCAAAACTCCAGTCTTAAAAAATAAAAAAATAAAAAAACCTTAGCTGGGCATGGCAGGGCATGTCTGTAATCCCAACGACTTGGGAGGCTAGGGCAGGATTGCTTGAGCTGAGGAGTTTGAGGTTGCAGTGAGCTATGATCCTGCCATTGCACACCAGCCTGGGAGACAGAGCTAGATACTGTCTCAAGAAAACAAACAACAACCACCACCAAAGAAAGCACATGTAGAAAAGACCCTGAGCCGTGACCATCACCCAAACTATGACCATCACTTGACTGATGCTAAAACACTTCGGATCTCAAAGGAGACCAGCACCAAGTACTCCATCAAGAGCTGTGTGGCCCATCTGCATGGTAAAATCTTCCACCATGAGAATCCACACAAAGGCTGGGAGGGTGAACAAGATAGTGCAGTGGGACAGGGACAGGGCAGCTGAGAGCAATTTTTAGTTAATTTATTTTGTTTTAGACAGGCGTCTCACTGTGTTGCCCTGGGTGGTCTTGAATACCTGGGCTCAAGCAATCCTCCTGCCTCAGCCTCCTGAGCAGCTGGATTACAGGCACGTGCTAGAGGAGCCTTTTTGATTTTAAACCTGATCTCGAAGTACAGGGAGCCCCAGGAAGCCCTGAGTCACTGATTTCCCGTGTAAGCTTCCAAGGCAGAAAAACAGCCAGTGGCTGCACCTCCCAAGATGTGGCCAGCAGAAGGGGTGGCAGAAGGGGGTGAAGCCGGCACTTGGTAAAGATTTACTGATCTGAATGAGAATGTGGAACCCATCAGCAAGATGACAAGTTACTCAGGGAAGGGCCACCCTCTCCCTTCATTCTTCCTGGCACTTGGTATTTAACCACAAGAGGATTTTTACTTCCTGCTTAGGGAGGGAGCTGGGGCTTCCTGGGGAGCCCTGTGCTTCCAGGGGCATGTGGAATGCCAGACCCACTCCCTCTAGAGGCCTCTTGTGAAGATGGAAGAGAGAGCTGTAGCCACAACCCACCAATATAATGCACTATAAGGAAAGCGTGACCAGGGCTTCCTCCCAGCTACCCCCGCGGAACTGTGAGGGTGGGAACAGGAGAAACAGGGCATGGGGTGCCTGCTATGATCCTCCAGGAAACACTGGTGGCGGGCTCCCAGGGGCTGGATAAGCTTCTGAAGGACAGAGGGCCCAGGCAGTCTCCTTAAGAACCACGGCCCCCTGCTGGTCCTGTACGGACACATTCTTGGTCCCACCTGGGGGCTTCCAGGCTAGCCTGGGAGGAGACCTGTCTGTGTGCACCCTGTTCAGAGATACAGCTCTACACCCTGGGAACTAGGTCTAGACCACAGATAGCGGATGCCAAACAGGCAGCCTCTGGGACCCCTGTGCTTTTCTAAGAAGACTGGCATAGGATGCGCCAATTTTGGCCCAGGGCACCACCTAGCCTTTGGGTTCTCCTATGGCCAGGCACGAACTGAGGCCCCAGCTGCAAAATCAAGTTGAATGGAAATTCCTTTGGGAATGAGCCGACACAACAGACACGCAGACAGAGAGCAGAACATCAAGACCCATCAAGACACATGCAGGCACCGACTCAGGTCTCCCACAACGGATGTTTCAGAGTCACAGCTGCCCACCCCACCCCACCCTTGGTGCAAGGCCATCTCAATGTCCCCAAGGGCTGCATGAAAAAGGACACCATATATCAGGCAGGGGAGGGTAGAGATGGCCGCCTTACTTGGACCTGGCCCTTCCCCATGAGTCTGTCCGTGCTCTCGCCATCCTCCTTGGGGATCTTCGTCTTGTTGTAACACTTTTCGTAGCACAATATCCTCAGGGTCTGGGAGCCCTCCAGCTCTATCTCAAATTCCTGCAGGCCCGAGGGAGAAGGGAGGAAGTCCAATGTGAACAAACAGGTCAATGTTATAGCTGAAGGGTCCTCTGAACCCAGGCTCTCCCTGTCGCCCTTGCTGGCCCAGGGGGATTGATGCCTGAGACCCTCCTCCCTTAGTCCTGGGACACATGGAAATGTTTCCTGTAAGCATCCCTGGCATGAGACTGTGGCTCAGCCTGGATGCTTCCAGAAGCTCCGACTGCCAGTCAAACCTAATCCAAACTCCTTACACCAGCATCTCAAAGGGTGATCCCCACACCACCTGCCTCACAATCTCCAGGGTGCTTGTTAAAAGATATTTCTACGGGCTGGGCGTGAGGGCTCACACCTGTAATCCCAGCACTTTGCGAGGCCGAGGTGGGCAGATCACTTGAGACCAGGAGTACGAGACTAAGCTAGCCAACGTGGCAAAACCCCATCTCTACTAAAAATACAAAAAGTAGTCGGGTGTGGTGGTGCATGCCTGTAATCCTAGCTACTTGGGAGGCTGAGGCACAAGAATTGCTTGAATCAAGGAGGTGGAGGCTGCAGTGAGCCAAGATCATGCCACTGCATTCCAGCCTGGCCAACAGTGTGAGATTCTTCCTCAAAAAAAAAAAAAAAAAAAAACAAAAAAACCCCCACAACAACAAAAAGTTATTTCTATGGACTCTGAATGATAATGATCTGTCAACATAGGTTCACTTTTTTGGTGATGAGACTGTTCTGTAAGATATTATCACGGTGGATACACGTCATTCTACATTTGTCAAAACCCACAACGTGTAACACCAAGAATGAACCCTATCTAATGTCAACTATGAACTCTGGGTGATAATGATGGGTTAACGCAGGCTCATCAACTGTAACTCACGTCCCACCCTAGGGTGGAATGTCCATAACTGAGGTGGGGGGCAGGGGGTACATGGGAACTCTTTGTTCTTTCTGCTCCATTGTACTGCATACCTAAACCCACTCTTTAAAAAATGAATTCTATCTAAAAGGAAACAAAGAGTGATCCTTGGGGTTGACACAGGAGGGACAGGGACTTGGAGGAAAAACTGCTTCGCTAGCTTTCAAGTTGTCTGCGTGGGTGTGGTGTGAACTCTCTCCTCCACCACCCCGATGGTGCCATTGGTGAATCTGCACTTCACGCCAATGTGTGCGCACGTGTGGCTTCTTGCTGGGGAAATGGAGGAGGATGAGGGAAGAAGAAAGCAGCAGGAATTTCTGAACCTGAATGGAGGAGTGGGTGGGTGGGTGTGTGCGCCAGGAACATGTGAGTGTCCCCAAGCCCAGATCTTCATGGACAGTGAGGGTGGTGGAGGTGATCTGCTGCAATCTAACCCTCATGACTTCATGCCTCCCTGGAGCTTCCGTAGATGCCTGGCACCTGAACCTTTTGCACACTGCCTGGCACCCTCTCTTGTTGTCTCTGCTGGGTCATGGCACTCTTGGTCTCTGCAAAGGCTTCTTCGATGGACCCCATGTGGCTCTTATACCCCCTGTCATCACAGCTGCCACTCAGCCCTTTCTGCTGGGATGTCCAGGTAATTTTCCTGAGCTCCTTGTGCCCTTGTACTATTCAAGCAACATGTCTAAAATGGTCAAAGAGTAGTGGATGCTGAGAAAGGAGACCTGGGTTCCAGCTCCACTGCTCGCTCTACCAGCCTTGTGACCCATGTAGACCAAGCAGCCTGGGGGCTCCTGGCTTCCTCCTTCGCAGGAGCGGGGGTGGGAGGCAGCTCTCTGTAGGCCCAGCTGCCTCTACCTGCATCATCAAGAATGAGACCTTCGAGGTCACAACTGCTGCAGAAGCTGGGAAACGGCACCTCTCATGGATCTGGGACTTAGTCAACACGGGCCTCTCTGCAATCATTCCTCCACTCCCGAAGGGGCAGGGCCAAATGGCTATGTGACTCACACAGCAGCTCTCCAAGGTGGAGGAAGGCACTGTGACACACAGTACAAGCCCAACACCCCGAGACAAGCAAGCAGGACCCTACAGTCCCTGCCCCAGCCCCACAGCAGAGCCCCAGGCTTCCGGAAGCCACGAGGGTCACGGGAGCTCATTCCAACTTCTGCGGAAAAACACTATGGAAACCTACCAAATAAACATAAGCGCTAACAAAGGCAGACAAAAAGCCCTTTTAAGTCTCTTTCCAAACACTTCTCCAGCAAAATAGGCGGCTTCTTTGTGACGAAGGGGGTGGGTAAGGTTTTCAGGAACAGAGATAAAATCTCTTGGACACGTCACCTCCTGGCCCCCCAGGAGATTCCTGGAATTCAGCAGCACTGCCTTCGGGGGAAGCCCTCAGGGAGCCCCTGAAGGTTCAGATTCTCTCCAGTGGGAAACAGCCTGCCCCGGCTGGCAGGCTGGGCCCTCCTCGGCCCTTGTAGAATCAGCTCCTCACCTCGTTCCAGTTTGGCTCAGCTGTGTCCCTGTAGACGCGCGTCTTTGCTTTATTCACAAAATACCCAAAGGAATCCACCTCCAGGGTGCAGTACAGATCTGTGGGGAGAAGGGAATATGGAGAAGGTCACAGCTCCTCTCCACATCACCCACATGGTCTGTAAGAGCAGGTGTTATTTGCAGAATCAGAAAAGAAATACAAAAGTTTTTAACTTTCTTTTTAAAAATTCAACACCTAATGGGGGCCTGGCATGAATACCAGCACCTCACGCGATGCCCCTGCCTGCTCTGTGGCATTTCCCTGGGGGCAGCTGGGAAACAGGACTTCCCACAACATTCGTTCAGTCAGTCAGTCCACAAACCCCAGCTAAAGCCCCTGTGATGAGAAGGCCTCTGCACTAGTGGGGACAGAGAGGTGTACACGCCACCGTTAGTGATGCCACAGCAGAGGCCAGCCGTCCTGGGGGATGTGGGAAGCTCCTGCATCCTACACAGCAGACCCCCCTGCAAGTATTATCGGGCAAAGAGTCAAGGCAAAGGGGACTCCAGGCCACTGTGGGGCACAGGAAGCAGCTCAGTGCTGGGGAAATCGTGGGGTGCAGGAGGAAGGGAAGGAGGCATGGGCTGCAGAAGAGTGGGGCTGGGCTGTAGGCGGTAAGTGGCAGGGTGGGGTTTGTGTTTTAGAAAAACTACCTGAGACGGGGGATGGACAGGCCTGGTGGTGGGGACCCTTTCTGCAGGGATGTCCAGAGCTATGACGACCAGGGAGGAGGCCACAGCCAGGGCCTGGTCAGGCAGCCAGAGACGATCAAGAAGCCTCACTGATGGAGAATGGCATTTAACGGAGGGAGAGCGGACCACGGTTTCTGGCTTGGCCACGGGAATGGATGGTGGTGCCCCTCAACGGGACAGGACAGAAGGGGAACAAGTTTGGGGGCCATGAATAATAGGTTTGGTTTGGGGATGCAAGGTTGAGTGCATGGGGCAAGGAAGAGATAGAAAGAAAAGTAACAGGGAGGCAAGGACAGACAAGTCTGGGACCACGGGGCAGCGTAGGGTGTCACACTGTACTGCTCACAGACAGGACCCGGGAGGAGACACAGGGATGGAGGGAGGTTGATGAAGGAAACACCAGCGTTTATGAGGCAGCCAGAGACAGGCCCAGGGGAAAGATTATGTGTTACAGTGTTATGAAGGTGCAATCTGCATGTCATATAATTCATCCATTCCAAGTGTAGGGTTTAAGGACTTTTAAGAAATTTAAACGCCAGTGCAAACAGCACCACAATCTTTTCACGACTGCTCTGACCTAAAAAGTCCCCTTAGGTTCATCTGCAGTTAGTCCTCTCCTAACCCCATCCCCCAACAATCCCTGGTAAGCTTTCTTCCTCTACATTTTGCTGTTTCTAGGAACTTTTTTTTTTTTTTTTCCTGAAGCGGAGGCTCCCTCTGAAGCCCAGGCTGGAATGCAGTGGCACAAGCTCGGCTCACTGCAACCTCCGCCTCCCAGGTTCAAGCGATTCTCTTGCCTCAGCCTCCCAAGTAGTTAGGATTACAGGCGCCCACCACCTTGCCTGGCTAATCTTTGTATTTTTAGTAGACATGGGGTTTCAACATGTTGGTCAGGCTGGTCTCGAACTCCGGATCTCAAGTGATCCACCTGCCTCAGCCTCCCAAAGTGCTGGGATTACAGGTGTGAGTCACCACGCCTGGCATCTTTGTATTTTTAGTAGACACAGAATTTCATCATGTTGGTCGGGCTGGTCTCCAACTCCTGAGCTCAAGTGATCCCCATGCCTCAGCCTCCCAAATTGCTGGGATTACAGGCATGAGCCACCACGCCTGGCCTCTAGAAACTTACACAGTGCAACTGACGTGTTACCAGCCTTTACTGTTCTGACAGCTCCAGTAACTGGGGGAGACCCCCACTTAGAGGAGAAGGAAAAAAAGCGTATTATCCATCCAGCTCGACAGAGCAGCCAAATCTGCTCTGCCGTGGGGTGAAGCTGCACTGCTGACAGCCCTCCTGGCTTGGACCCAAGACTCTTAGGCCCCCCAGGGGATGTCTGTCAAACTCCTTCCCAAACCCCTGCGATTACACGATCCACCTGCAGGGGGCAGCTCACCAGCTCCCAGGATCTGAGACAGGCTAGGGAGAGGGCAGAGGCCACTGCGGGAAAAACAATTCCACACCCAGAAGGCATCAACAAGCACAAACAGTCCACAGCAGCCAGGGGTCAAAGGTGTCCCGTGGTCATCTGAACAATCTCCCTGTTTCCCCACACCCTGCCCGATGAGTCCTTCCTGGGTGGAGGCCCTGGCTCGGCCGCTGCAACCTTCCTCCCCATACCAGTACTTACTTGAACTCTGCTTAAATCCAGTGGCTGAGTGGACGATGACATTCAGAAACCCATAGAGCCCCGGAGACTCATCATCTGCGCAAGAGACCAAAGAGGTGAGCTTCTGTTGTCCCGGGAAAGGGAGGCAGGTGACAAGCTAACTAACTCTGCTTCAGAATCAACCATCCGGTGGACACCACGTGGCTGCCATCTGCCCAGCACAAGGCAAGCCAGTGTCATGGGCCAAAAACATACCCATCATGATCTCTGTCTTGGGGACCTCAGGATTCAGTTGGTTTCACAACACAGGCAAACCAGTGACCCAAAGTGTAATAAGGTTCCAAGGACAGCAGAGGGGGTCGGGGTGACGTGGGATGTGAGTGGGGTGTGTGTGGACACATGTGCATAGCATATGCTGTATGTGTGACTGAGCATACGTGCAACAGTGAATGCAAAACTCAGCTTGACCAAAAGTGCCAGCTGGCAGGTAGCTGGAGGAGAGGAGGGCTGGGAGGACGGCAGTGGGGCCGGATCTAAGGCACACAGCATCTGAGGAGCATCTGCTGCAGCCTCCTGACTAGGAATAGAAGCTGTGCATCTCCTCAACCACCCAGCAGCAGCCACTCAGGGAGAAACTGCTCCTAACCCACCTCGTCCACTCCTGGGTGGAGACAAGAGGCCCTAATAAGCACAGCTCTTCCTTCTGAATCAAAGTCCACTAGTCCCAACAAAAGTGCTAACAGGAAGGGGGGATCAGCCTTTGGACCAGCTGCCTGCCCTCCCTACGGGTGCCCTGTACACAGGAGGGTGGGCCCACCTTCCTTGTTGATGGTCAGCGGAATGCTGTGGACGGTCTGGAGTTTCACACACGAGTTGGTCAGCATCTGCAGCTCCACAGACGTCAGAGAGAAGCTTTTGAAACCTGGGAGGTTGGAAAAGAGGTGCACCAACTGGTCAGTCTGCTCCTTGACCCTCTGGCCCCTCCCGCTGGACCCACCACACCCTGGGGAAGGGGCATGGCAAGAACTGGTGCCACGGCTTGGGGGCTCAGGAGAGGGCACTCGGCTCCCAAGTGCAGTGCTGGTCTGGCAGCAGAGCGAGGTGTGGCCTTGGAGAGCCCAGGCCTGCAGAAGTCTTAGCATGAGACTTAAAAACACACACGTCCCACGCTACCTATGCACAGCCACGCGGCAGGTCTGAGAATGAGCGGCTGGACTGGGAGCACCTCCCTGTGAGGTCTCCCAGACAGCAGCATGGCTCTGCCCCTCCTCTGCTAACACAGGCCCTGTTTCTCCACCAGGTGAGGAAAAGGGGCTTATTTCTGGGCATAATGCTGAACAGGCTACAGAGGCTGCCACTCTGGAAATGGCTGGGGCTCCCATGTTATGACAGGAAACCCTGGGACACAAGCACTGGCAGGGCTGCCCGGAGATCCGTGTTCCTCCAGGCCACGGTGGCATTGGGGGCCGAGATGTGGCTCTGCACAGGTGAGAATAATGAGCCTGAGGGCGCAGGAGGTCAGGCCAGGCCAGAGAAATGCAGAGCCCCAGCCCAACATCCCTGTGAAATACGCTGCTTTGCAGGAGATGGCCCACAGCTGTGGGAGGACCAGGCCACCTGGATGCAGTGCTCAGCCCAGCTCCCCCTGCAAGAGGGACAGTGGCACACAAGAGTCCCAGTGGGAAGACCTTGGTAAGGATGGCATGTGAATCCCAAACCTCCAAGGAGGGAACCGGGTCTGCCTTCCCCACTGACACTGCCAGGCAGGAGCCGAAGGAAGGAGCACCCTGACAGAGGGAAGTGCCCAGAGAAGGAAGGGGCTGCCCCAGACAGGAGGGAGTGCCCCTGTGCTGAGAGCTAGCCACCCTGGCCATATCAACAGGGCAGTGGGGCCAGCACACTGTGGCTGCCCAAGTGGGCCGGGAGCAGATGAGGGGAAATGGGGTGGTGGCAGGGTCCCAGAAAGGCCTAGGGGGCAGGCCAGGGGTGGGGTGTATGGGCAGCGGGCTGGGGGCGGATGGCAGGGGTGTGTGTAGGGGTGGGTGTGGAATCAGGAAAGGGCCTGGGGAAGGGGGATCACAGGGCAGTGGGGAAATGAGTGCCCAGGGGATGGGGGCAGGATAGGCAGGCGGGGAGACAAGAGGCCTGGGGGCCTATCAGGGCGGCTATCTCCAATGCAACACTTCACTTGGATAAAACCCCTCAAAATAAAAAAGAAGGTTTAAAATCACAGGAGCTGCCAGCCTGGCCCTAATGTTTTGAAGCCCAGACCTTCTCGGGACAGAGGATACTCACACTTCTTCTGCTGCTCCCGGATGTTCTCCCTCCACTCTGCACGCTCATAGTCAGAGGAGATCAGGAACGTGTAACTCTAGGGTGGGCGAGAAGAACACACCCAGTTATCTCCACCCTGGCTACGCAAATGCCTGGTAGGCCCAGGGCACCTTAGAGCACACAACTCATCCCTCCAGCTGGCTGGAGCCCCGTGGCCAGGTGTGCTCACGGCCTGGCATGTCGCTTCCGGTACTCCCTACCCTTCCTGCCAGCTGGATGCCACAGCACCCGTGGCACAAGCTCTCACCTGAACCACATGGGTCAGGGTGTGATGCTGGCAGAGGGGCACAGCTTAGGGACATGGAGGTGACCAGGTGGGATCTGCAGAGGTGAAGATTAATCCAGACCTGACCTCCTGCATTCAACCCACAAGCCCCACCAGCAGAGCCCACCAGCAGCCTCTCCCGGCCAGGCTAGAAAACAAGCCATTCTGGATGTTGACAGATACGTGTTGACAGGAGGGAGAGGCCCAGGTTACAGATGGCAGCAGGAGCCAGACTCAGGACAGAAAATGCGTCTCTGGCCCTCAAGGTCCCGGGACAGCATCCCTGTACCAAGGGCCAGGTCTGCACCTGCTAGGCTCCCCTGCCCTATACCCTCCCTGGAGACCCTGCCCACTCCCAGTTGTGGAAGCTGAGCCAGCTGCCACTCAACCTGGGGGCTACGGCCCAAAGCCCCAGACAAGGGAAAGAGTATGCTTGCATGCACCATGCTGGACAAGCCTCTCTCAGTGTGGGGTGCGTCCAAGTGAAAACGCGCTGCCATGAGGCAGTCAGGAGCCCATCCCAGGCCGGGAGAGCAGGAGGGGCCAGCACAGCAGGCACTCACCTTGCCATTGCGGCTGTGCACCCTGAAGGCCATGCTGGGAGACATGAGCAGCAGCAGCGACTCCTGCTCCGACAGCTTCTTCTTCAGCCTCTCCGTGGCCTTGCTGCCCTTGTTCGCCCTCTGCGGGGAGATGCCACAGCCTCACCTTCCCATTCCAGCACCCCACACAACCCACTCCCACTCCATCCATCCCCACCCACTAGCTGCATTCAGCCTGCACAGGGCGAGAATCTCATCTCTCCACTCAGCACAGCCCAGGGCCCCAGACCGCAGTTGCTGGTGGCCTTTGGAGGACAGAAACAGTCTTTTTACAGGGTCAAGGCATGGCACAAGCTGCAGGACATGCTCAGTAAACCTTTTTTGTAGGAATTAAGTCTTTCCTCTCAAAAGGGCGGAGAGAAGAGACTTTTACAAACATCCCTGCCTTTCATTTTCCCAAATTCAGACAATGTCCAGGAGGCCGTTGTGACCTAAAGGGTCCCTCACCCCCTTCCTAACCCAACTAGGTTTCAGCATCGGGCCCCCTGGGCACGTTTGTGGAGGTCTCAGCAGAAGGCCAGACGACTGTCAACAGAACCTGGATGGGAAGGCCCTTCCTACGCTGAGCTGCGTGTTTCACTCTAGAAGCCACTATCCCTGGGGAGGAGAAAACTGTGCTGCCTGTCACCAGGTAGGGCCCCATCCTATCCCATCCCCCAAAGAGCTGAACATGGAGAATGCAACAGTAACAGTCAATAGGCCTCAGCTGCCCTGAGCACTGGCTCCCACTCTGCGTGGGGACACCCTACCTTGGAGGTCACAGTCTCACAACGATGAACAATAGAATGTTCACCCCAGTCTCGAAGCTCCCTGTGTTCCTAAGTGTGCTGGGTTTGGGTACAGCAGGCTGGGCAGCTGGGCAAGGGCTGAGGAACTCCTGTCCTGCTGCATCCACCCTACCTGGGCATCCCTGGACCCAGGCCTAATCTTCTTGCCACCCGCTTCCTCTGGCCTGGCTAACCTTTGATTAAGGGGCTCATCCTCGCCATTTTTACAGTCTTCAAACATCTCTGGGAAAAACCAAGCGCCAGTAGTCCTGAACACCTGGCGGGGTGGAACTCTCACCCGGGCCTGGCCCACATCAGGGTCGCTTGTATGGGGGACAGCCAGCACCTCCCCCAGCCCTGCATCCTGGACTACTCCAAGCCCTCCACTGTCTGGCTGTGACTTTCTCTCTGGTGACTTGGTACTTCACCCGTGTAATGGAACCACACAGCAAAGGACGCAGCCTGGGTATCAGGAGACCACACACTCGAACAGCTCAAGCCCGTGGCCAGAGGTGAGAACCCAGAAGCCTCTCTCCCGCCCAGCTGACTGAGCTCCCGCGTTCCTGCTGCTTCCTTAAAAGGACCATCCAGGCATTTGCCTGTGAACTTAAAAGGGATCACACCCTGTTCCATTATAAATACTGCTGGCTGTCATGTGCACGCTCTCTCTCTCTGACTCTTCATTTCTGCCTTGTGTGACCCAGGGACAGAAGACTGCCCTCCCTACTCATGGCACCTCCTTGTCCAAAACCTGTAGGTGAAATCTCTGAACTTGTTTCGTATTGCGGTGGTGTGGTTCTGAAAAACTAGGAGGTGTTGGCTGAGGTTAAGTTTTCCCCGGGCATGCCAGTGAAAACACAAAATCAGGCTCCCAGTGCCACAGCAATGGTCAGGCAGGTGTAAACTGGACCCAGTTTAAACTTGCCAGTATAAACAAGTTTCTCTCGAGAGGGACCCCCGGTCACAGGTCGGACAACTAAGTATGAGGCGGTCCACCAGGTGCAGGAAGTATCCCGTGAAAGGCACATTGTAGAGACCACGACCAGTTCCCTTCGTTTTTCTGGAGGGCTGGATTGGCAGCCGCTCTGGTATGGGGCTCCCCACTGAGCTGGGGGTTCTCAGAACAACTGGGCACCTACCTGTGCCCAGATGCCAGCCCTCCCAGAGCTGAGAGCTTAGAGGGGTCCCAGAGACCAGACCTGGGACCCAGAGGCCTGATGGAGAAAGCACCCACTGGCCGGGTGCGGGGGCTGCTGCCCATTCAGACCACACCGAACCCGGCCCTCGCTCCCCTGGCGTGCACCTTCTCTCTCTGGATGTCACTCTTGATCTGGGAGATCTTGATCTTCAAAGCATCCAGCTCCTCGTCCGGCACCAGGGGAATGTTGGGCACTGCCTCCGATTCGTCCACCATCTGGAAGCTGAGATCCGTGAGCGGAATGTACCACTTGCAGTCATACTGCTGGGTTTTGCTGGGGATGGGGAGAGAAGAACGTTCACATGCACCGGCTGCCTTCCGTGGTTGATGTCACTGCTGTCAAGAGGCCAAGAGCCCATGTTCCTGGCCATACATGGTTTACCTGACCCAAAACCCAGCACGTGTTCCATGGAACAGACTGGGATGAGGCCACTGGCAGGCGCTGGGATTCCTGGGAACTGGGATTCCTGGGAACAGACACTCTGAACATGTGACCACAGGCCCCAGGCATCTCAGGAGTCTAGATCCACCTTATCCTGAGCTGGCCCTAAGGTTGCAGGCTCATGTGGGAGCACATCAAGGCTGCACAATGACAGGACAGGACTGAAATCCACCCCTAGGGCCGCAGAGTTTGAGGGACTACAGATCTAGCTGGTCATCCCCTCACCTGACAGAAGGGGGAACTAAGGCTGTCCTCTGAGTTGACTGATTAAACCCACTCAGCAGGGAAACGGCAGGATGCAGGGAAGAGCCCCGTGCTGGTCCTTCCCAACATGGCCCTCTTTGCTCCATTCCAACCTGGTGCAACCTGGGTGAATCCAATCCCTGGAGGGAGGAGGGGAATGTGTGCAGGCCTGTGCCGAGAATAACTTAGAAGCCACCACCAGGCTCAGGGAGACAAGGGGCAGTCACCACCCAGCACTGCCTGCAGCCCCTGACCTCACGCTTCCCGGATAGGTCCCAAGGTAACCTTTCTGCAGTGGTGCCGGAAGCCATGGTCGGGTTTACCCCTCACTACGGGAGTCAAAGCTGGTCACCATGATGCCTGATGACGTCTCCAGATTGCTAGTGACAATCTTTAACCTTGAGCCCGGCATTGTGCTCAAGTGGAGACGGAATGTAAAGAGAGGGCCCTCCATGTCCTGCAGCGTCAGGGGGAGGTCACCGCCGGGATGGGGGCCACATCGTCACTCACCCTCCACTCTGCTTCTTGAGCTTGGTGCAGAGAAGCAGGTCGGTGAAGAGGAAGACGTGGCGCAGCTTGCGGGCCCCCTCCACCAGCTCCACCATGAAGCTGTCCTTCAGCAGCTGCCGGTGCTGTGGGCACAGGGAAGGCGGGGTCAGGGCAGCCTGGGGTGATGGGTGAGGTGTGCTCGGCCCTCCCAGCCCAGCAGGAGCAGGCTGACCCAGAGACTTTCTCTCCCTGGGAAGATTTCCCTCCCTCCACATCTGACCGTCACACCCACTTTCCAGAACGTTTTGTTCATCTCACAGTCCTGCTAACAGATCAGGGCTTATGTGTAACTTCTTTGTTCAGCAAATTTCCCAATCCCTCCTGTGTGTTCCACCTTTGGAAGAGGGTGGGAGGGTGGGGGAGATGGGGAGGTAACGGCTGTGGGTCTGGAAGGGCACAGAGCCAAGCAAACAGTCTGCTGTGAAGATGGGTGATGGGAGGGCCTGCTTTAAACAGGGAAGCTGGTGGCAGTGGAGAGCCAGAATGGCAACAAGCCAGCTATGCCAGGAGCAGGTATTTCTGTAGAGGGACCATCGCAGGCACAGGCCCCTGTGGTGGGAAGAGATTGGTGCTCGAGGTAAAGATGGGGCAGTATGGTCTATGGGTGGAGATGGGCCCAGTGCACTCTGAAAAGTGGCAGCCCTCAAGGTCATGGCAAGGGTTGGGCCTGGTTCTGAGGGCAGCAGGAACTGGGGGTCTCACATCTGGAACTCCTAGTCCTCCCAACTAGCAGGATGGATAGGGTCCCCGGTGTGCAGGGGCTGCACCTCTGACACCTGCCTGGATACCTGCGGCCTCAGAAGGGTTAAAGCAGAGTGCAGGTGGGCAGCACAGGGCAGGGGGCATAGGCTAATAAGCCACGTGCCCTTCTGCATCTTGGTCTGCATCTGAAAGGCAAGGGTAGGTCCTTCTTGCTCAAGGGGCTGCTGAATGGCCATGTCCAGGTAAGTCACCCATGTCTGGCACCTCACAGGGTTGGGCGCTGTGCCGAGGGTACAGGGATAGGATGAGAGGCTGTCGCAGCAAGCCTTCCCCATGTTGGGACCAGTGCACGAGCACATCGCCTGAATTATTTGATCCAGTCCCTACAACAGGCTTAGGCAGGTCCTTCAGGAGAAAACTTAGCTTCAGCGAGGTACACCCTCTGTTTCAGGCAGCGCAGAAAGCGAGGGGCAACATTCACAGGTCTCCACCCTCAGGAGCCCACAACCTCGTGGGAGAGAGACCAAGTGTTTAGTGGGCACCCAGCCCACGGGGTCTCAGGGAAGGCTCACAGGGGAGGCACATACAACAGAGGGTGTGAAAACCCAGTGTCTCCCCGCAGGGGGTGCACCTGTCCCCACCTCGAGAAGTGAGGAGGCCCTGTACTCTCAGGGAGCCAGGCTGGTCCTAGAGTCAGACCAGGGGCCTCGCCCTGCTGTCAGCTGCCACCTGAGGTTCTTCTCCGGGAGCCTCTGTCTCTCTGAACTTCCCCGATTCTGGGGCCGGAGGCAGCAGAGCTCCCCACTGGCAAGTACCGCCTGGGCCAGACCTCCAACACTCTTGGGGTGGAGGCTTCATGTCACCATCATAAGCAGCTTGGCTCACGACAGCCAGCTGGCTCTTGTGAGGGGGAACCAATGACTTACGCAGGGGCCGCTGGTGCCCATAAGTGGAAGGGTAGGAAGACTGCCGGCGTGCCAAGGCCATGACTCATCGGCACTCACCCATACCCCGCCTGCCGCCTGGTGACAGCACCCACGGGAAGCAAGAAACTGCATGTGCACCTGGAGAAACATCATGTAGAGCTGGAGCGCTGAAGCCAGGTAACCCAAACTGCTGCGTCTGCAGCGGGGACCAGGTCTGGGTAGGGTCCCAGGACACTGAGGTCCCTCTTGGCAGGGACACAGCAAACAGCCTCCTGGCCAAGGAGGAGGGGTCTCAGGCGCCTTCCCTCTGGGGGCAGTGGCGGGGCTGGATGGCAGGCTTCTCCATACAAAGGCACTGAGCTTCTCGCCATCACCAGCAGAGGGCACCCCATGCTCAGCTCAGAAGCCGCAGACCCAGCTCACTCTGCCTGCGGGCTAGAAATGCAGCTCCCTCTCCAGCAGTGGCTCCCCACAACTCACCTCTGGGGCACCCTCGGCCTTCGGCAAGGCCAGTGAGTGTCACACTGGGTGCCTGTAGCACCCACATGCCAGCATGCCACATTGAGAGGACACAGGCTTGACTGTGGGGAGGATGTGGTCCCACTGGGGTGCGAGCTGCAGGCCTGGGAGGCTCGGACAGTGGACTCAGCTGGTTCTGGGCTACTCTTTTGATGCTGCCACAGCCTCCCCAAACCCCCACCCACCTGTGCAACTCTCATCTGAGAGAAGCCCAAAAGCCACAGGCACCCCAGCATGTCACAGCATCTTAGGCCCTGCTCTGCAGTCCCTGTCACCTGGCCCCTGCCCTCCCAGCCCACACAGCACCAGCGCATAGCTGGCAGGCCCACATGGTGTGGCGTATGTCACTCCCTGCCCAGATGTCCCTCTCAGAAGCGCTCAGCAACTTGGTCCCCGGCCTGGAATACAGGACAGTTGGCCTTGAAATCAGCACAGGCTTCCCACATAGCCCACCCGAGTCATCCTCCAGGGCACACGGCAAGGGTGGGCCGGGGTCACAATCCTGACTGCATCCCAAAGCTGGCATAAGGCCATGTGGCTAGAAACCACTGTCCCCAATGCTCAGCATCTCACCTAGGGCAAACACTCCCAGCTGGAGCTGTGGGACAGAGAGGGCCAGGACCTCAACGGCCCAGGACAGGGACAGCACCACACTTTGGAGAGCTGGCTTGCTGGCGCTGTGGGAGCCTGTGTGTGAGAAGGGCACAGGGGAAGATCCTATGTGTTCTGTGTCTGCGTCTCTGTGTGTCCCTTTGTGCATCTCCATGTCTCTGGGTGTGTTCATTCTCGTGTGAGTGTGAGCGCCTGAGCGTGTCCTTGTGCATGGAACCCCACACAGGCCTGTGGCCTGGGTAGGTGTGTGCCCGTGTGTCTCACTGTGTGTGTCTCCATGTTTCTATGTGAGTGTATTTCCAGGCAAGGGCAGGTCCCTGTGCGTGTCAGGCCTGTGTGTGTCCTGGTGCAAGTAACCCCGTGTGGGCGTGGGTCCCCGTGTGTGCTGCAGGGCAGGGCAGGGCAGTGGGACAGCAGGCCCCAGCTGGCAGGACAACACTCCCCTTGGGGAGCCCCCCAACATCCCAGGTGGGAAACACCAGCTGGAAGAAATACCACCTGTCTCCGTGAACAACTAAAATCATCATCCCCACAGGAGCCCCCAGAAAGCAAGGGCGGCCAGGACAGCCTGCATCTTCACTGTCCCTGGCCTTCAGGAAGGCCAGTCTGGAAGAAGCACACTGTTAAGACTGAAAGTTTCTGTCCCCCTCAGAATTCATGCTGAGGCCCTAACTCCAACGGGCTGGTATCTGGAGGTGGGGCCTTTGCAAGGTGAGTAGGTATAGACGAACCCACAGGATGGGGTGAGTGTCCCCATAAGAAGAAGAAAGACAGGTCCTTTTCTCTCTCCATGTCCACTCCCAGGAAGGTCATGTGAGGATACAGGGGGATGGCAGCCATGTTTCTTACTGCCCTCACCAGAACCTGACCCTGCTGGCACCCTGGCCCTGGATCTCCAGCCTCCAGAACTGTGAGAGGTAAAGGCCTGTGTGTGGGCCTCCCAGCAGACAGTGCTTTGTTACAGCAGCCTGAACCGACCAAGACATGCTCCAGCAATCAGAGACCACGGCTCCATGGAGATGCTGGAAATCTTCCCCAGGTACAAGAACTGCAGTTTGATCATCAACAAATCAGCAGGGCCTTGACTGGTGGGACAAGGAAAAGTTGCCAAAGATGCCCACGTAGCAGCTGAGAAAGTGGAGAAGGAAGACGGCCCAAGTGAAGACCAAGGTGGAGCTGTCAGCTGCTGGCTGGTGGGGGGGGCCCTGAAGGCAGCCAGTGGCCTCAGCCCCCACTACCCTGCCCCCAGAGCAAAGCGCACACCCCTGGAGACCTGGCTGAGTGCCACTGAACTGGCTGCCACTGCCTGTCAGTGGCCCTGTCTATGCAGAGATGTGGCAGAGGGACCAGGAGCAACGAGGGTCACCAGGCAGGCCAATACACACTGCAGCCGAGAATGAGGTCAAGGGTCCTGCTCATCTTTCCCTCCCTCTCACTTGCTCTTGACTTGCCCTCCCTGCAGACTCTCTGGTCCCCAGGAAAGCCTCCCATGGCCAATCTGGCCCAGAAAGTTTCCTATGCCCTGAGAAACCCTATGCCAGGTAGAGGATAGGGTGGGGCCTGGAAAGAACAATGCTGGCTGATAGCCACAGTCAGGGTGGCTGGTAGCAGCTAGTATTTGCTGAGCTCTTTCTGGGTGCCAAGAAGGTGTGAAAAGAGCATGACGTAAAACATCTCATCTCACTCCACAGAACCCTCCCATGCAGCAGGCTCCAGCTTCACCACTGCCTGGAGAAGAAACAGCTCAGAGGTAAGCAATGTGCCCACGCTCCTGGAAGGAATTAGAACTTGGCCCAGACAAGTCGAGAACCCAAGCTTTGTTTGCCAATGTTTATGAAGGGCCCAGAAAGGCCTAGCCCTCGACATAGGCACTAGCCTTGCCATTACAGCTTCTGTTTGGTGTCCAGTGGAGCTGAGAACCCCACCCATCCCGTCTTCACCTCTGGGGTGGGCACCTCCCTCTCCGTAGCACCCCTGCAAACTTTGCCAACAGGTTCTGGCTTCTCCAACAGTTTTCCAACTCTTTTTTTTTTTTTGAGACGGAATTTCACTCTGTTGCCCAGGCTGGAGTACAGAGTGCAATGGCGTGATCTCGGCTCATGGCCACCTACACCTCACAGGTTCAAGCAATTCTCCTATCTCAGCCTCCCGAGTAGCTGGGATTATAGGCACGTGCCACCACGCCCGATTAATTTTTGCATTTTTAGTGGAGACGGGGTTTCACCATGTTGGCCAGACTGGTCTCGAACTCCTAACCTCAAGTGATCCACCCGCCCTGGCCTCCCAAAGTGCTGGGATTACAGGTGTGAGCCACCATGCCCAGCCTGCTCTCCAGCTCCTTAATCATCAACTTAAAAACCTTGGTTCTCCTCTGCCCGAGGCTCACCATCTCTCAGCCTCAAGCCTGCACTGGTGGTACTTCCCTGCTCTAGGGCCTTCCTGCAGCTCCCGTTTGGACTGCTGCCGGTGTTCTTCCTACAAGAGGGGCCTCTGGGATCCCAGGCAGAGAAAGGGTATTGGAGGTCATTGCCTGGCTGGCTCTTGGGAAACAAAACATCCAAACTGGATCATCCACTATGCTGCGGAGCCCAAGCCGAGGGGGTGCTGAGCAGCACATGGTGCCAAGGCTCTGAGGAGACAGACAGGCAACCACGTGGGAAGTCACCCAGTAGTGGGGATCGGTTATCTAACTGTGAAGTTAATTCAGCTAAACAAATGAGCGCCACCCACCAGCCCTCAGAACCCAGGCCTGGAAAGAAACTGTGCCTGCGGGATCCTCTGATCCTGTTATTTTGGGGAGGCTAAGGAGGGCATTCTCCTGGCAGCACCTGTGGCTCATGGCCCCCAGGTGTGCTTGGGCCAGGATGCTGGGAAGCCGGAGCACCTGCTGGCCACCATTCAGCATCAGGGAGCCACCTGGAATGCAGCCCAAAGTCACTCTTCCCCAAAAAGCACAGCCCTGGAGCCGTGCGATGTGGCTGAAAAGGGCCATGAGATTATAAGAGCCACAGTGAGGGTCTGGGGCTGGGGTGGCTGACCCTGCACAGGGCTCACATCTGGGCCTCTCCTCAATGCCAGACTTGCCCAGGCTCAGCAGGTAGCAATGGGCCGCCTCCCAGGAGGCCCAGTAGTTACTGCAAGAGAACCTCGAAACACCCAGGCCGACAGAGGCAGCTTTCCTCTTGACATCAAATGCCAGGGAAGCCAGAAACAGCCCCAACCCCTTGACGCACTCCCAGCAGCAGTAGCAGCAGCAGGGAATGGGGTAGTGTGCAGAGCTGAAAGGGACATCTCCTCCTCTTTCCTACCTCCAGGTAGTGCAGGCACAAGAGGATGGGTGGAAACGTCCTATTGGCTCACAGAGGAGTAAGGGAACCAGAGTAACACACCCGAGGGGCAGACAGGTGACAAGGGGGCCTGTGGCCTCACTCGCATCCTGGCTTAGCTACTTAGTGGCTGTGTGACTGTGGGCAAGACCCTCAACCTCTCTGAGTCGCAGTTTCCTCATCTGTAAAAGGGAGATCACCTCTGACCCCAGAGTTGTCATGAGATCTCAGAGGCACGGTTCCTTTCTCCCTTTGAGAACTTGACACTCCATGGCATGTACCAAACTAAGAGATGGGCAGAAGAGAAAAGCTCAGGCCCCATCCCTGGTTGCAAATTCTAAGAGGAAGTAGCCTGGAGCTCCTGCCCCCCTTTCCTGGCTAGTGACGTCAGGGGAGCTTGCCCGTCACCTCCAACACAGATGGCGGCATGCAGGCAGGTCACCACCCCTCACTTTCATAAAGTCCCTCTCAGGCTGTGAAACCTTTTCAGTCTCAACACCTAGTGGAGGGGCCACGGACCCTGCATCATTGCCCTCAGAGAGCCCGGGCACCCAGGGAAGCAAAAGGGTGTCCCCAAATCAGTACACTGTTAGCAGTGAGCGAGAGCGGAACCTGACGGGGCTTCGCCCATCTGGCATCTTTCTGCATCAAGGACTGCAAACCCATTGGGGAGTGCCAGAGGATACTGAGGAGCATGTCCAGGCTTGGAGTGCCCAACTGATTAGCAGCATCTGCCCCAGCAATGGCAGAGGCTGGGGCACAGCACAGGCATCTGTCTATCATCCTGGCTTAGCCACCATCAAGCCACCTCCCTTAACATGCCTCGGATAGAAAGCTCTGAATGAAGGGGTGCTGGTCAGACTCACAGTGACTTTTCTAGAGTCATTAGTCCTCCATCTTGCTTTGCAGTTGAGGCACCCAGGTGACCCCTCCTCTATGAGCAAATGCCCCTCCACCAGGGTGAGGT